TTCATTTGATAAACAATGTATTTTTATTTTTAAACAATAAAAAAATAAGTTCCAGATCAAATTGTGTCGATCAAACAAAGTGTTGAGTTTGCCCCGGCGGGGTGTCGAGTTCGCCCCGTCATTTTTTAATTCGAAAATTTGTCTTCGCGTCACTTTTTCTTTCCTGGCGGCAAAACAAAGCGACGTACAGCAAAACTTCCTGAATCAATTTTATACCTGAAGAAACACTCTTTAAATATATATCATTGAATTTGCCTAAAAATTTTAATTAAATATTAAAAATTGTCTTTGAAAAAATAGTGTCGGCTTAGCACCGGTCTCCCCTATACGTAACACGAGATAATTATATCTAATAAAATTAATTTATATTCAACGTCCGCATAATAGAGCGTCGATTAAACTTCCGCGACTAACAACCGTTCCTATAAGTATATTGCTTGATAATAGTATATTTTTTTCACGAATTAAGACTGATAAGCGTGGGCTACGAACATTATTTATGTCGCTTTACTTTCCTGTAACTTTAGCGAGGTGTTAATTAAACTATTATCTTGATACAATGTGTGTATAATATTCGCGGACATATTCACGAGAAGGAAATGTATATGTAGCCAGACTAGCCAGAGCCGCGGTGGAGAGTTTGCCTTCTAAATATTCCTATTGATATAAAACGCCGCGGCACGACTTATCTCCGTTTAATTAGCGGTTTTATAATGGAGGGAACGTCACTTCGCTTTTTTGCACGTATAACACAGACTTGCTACCTCCATTCTCAAAGATGAAATGTCCTCTTTTTGCGCCCCGCCATCGCCATTATACTGTCTCTTTAGCTATTCCTCGCCGTTTCTAGTTCGCAACTCCCCGATCCGGCGCTGACAACTGTATTTTTGGCAAATAAAAATCTTCGTGCGCACAATTGTTATAGTCGGAGAGCTGACGACACTTTTGGCCAAGTGTTTCATATTTTACAAAATTACTTGGTCAAAAATGTGGTCAGCTCTTAGGCTATTATATATACCTATGTGCGCGCTAACCGAATGCACACCGCATTAATTCCACTCACACCTCCGGAATTTTTTCCTCACGCGAGCTTTCGCGTAAAACGACCAGAACGAATTACGCTTTTCTCGAACAAGGCAAATCGCATGATTGATGATTCGTTATATTAACTACTACGATCAAACGGATATTTGCGTGTTCAAAGCATTTGTTGCTAATCGCCACTACTCCCCCCAAAAAAGAAGCGTAATATCTTGATAATTATTAAACACATCGTGCAATTAAATTACATTATTTATTATGCAGAATGAATCGGAACTGATTAATATACAGAGAAAAAGAATATTATTGATTTAAAAATATCTTTAGTTTCAACGTGGAAATCTTGAAATGAGATTATATTGCGTTAAACTTGCTTGAATGAAGTCATTATACATATATGTATATAGTGCAACCAAGAAAAAATGTTGAAATAAAAAGTTGAAATTTTTATAAGACGATTATAGTGATCTTACTTATATATGAAACAATCTATATCTTCTTATAAGAATTTCAACTTTTTATTTCAACATTTTTTCTTGGTTGCGTTATACGTAATAACTTCATTCAAGATAGTTTTCTTCAAACAAGTTTAACGCAATATAATCTCATTTCAAGATTTCCACGTTGAAACTAAAGATATTTTCAAATCAAGAATATTCTTTTTTTTCTGTGTACAATATTACAATATTACTAAGATTATGAAATTGTCCATCAAACACCAACACCAACTATAACTAAGTAACATTGCGTCAATGTTATTATTTCCCACTCAACAATTTATGTTGCATTTACATTGTTGAGTGGGAGTTGTTGGTATTACCGTAGTACAGGAATTGTAGTTAGTATTACCGTATTTACATTATCGTACTTTTGCGTCATTATATCGTGAAATTTTGAGTTTAAACTATCGTTTTTAAACATATATTATTATCATTATTATTATTATTATTATTATCATAGCTTTGTCTCCAAGACCTTTAGAAAATTAATTCGTTTGGCTAAAACAGATCTCTCGAATGCCATTCGTCACCGCGAGAATTTCGCCTCGCGAGTCAGGTGATCCATGTGAAGTGCAAATTCCCGCTACGATCTATTTTTTAGAAGCGATGAATAGCGACGCAAGCTGAATTAGATCGACCAAGAAATTCATCTTTGTTAACGCGGGAGTGAAGAATGGCTCGTTAAACGGAGAGACTCTCGCGTCCCTGCGTCCTTACCGACTTCCGCAAATAGCAGAAATTTACGAGCATAATATTTCTTTTTCTGACTCGCATAGTTGTTTCCCACAAATCAATGGTTCAGCGCAGAGATTCGTGCATTATGTTAAGTATAGAAACTCGTAATGGCACTATCTAAATCTGAAGTTACGGGAATAGTTCAGAAGTATATAACGGAATGTCGCTCTTCTATTCATTGGACGTAAAAAGAACATAGAATCTTGTGAATTTATAAGAGCATCGAGATTGAATTTCAAATCGATTTTTAAAAACCTACAAAAAAAACTGTTAATCTTGAATTGTGAAGGTATTTGGTGTAGAGAAAATTAAATAGTTCAAAAGAATGATTTGTTATTTTTAATGAGGAAGATTAAAAATAACAAATCATTAATGAGGAAGATTGAGGACATCAAATATATAAATTCGTATATATATGCAACCAGTGTCGACACCGGATTATTATAATGATTCATTCACCTGTCGAAATTCTATCTAGCATATTAAACGGAAAGAGACAAAGAGATGTAAATAACGAACAGTTGCAGAAGGTGAATATTCGTTCTCATGAGTGCAATTAATAAAATACATACACAGGATACAACAGCGCGCTATACGTCATCGCACGTACAACATTTTCGCAAAGTACGGAAAGTCCGGTAGCCGGAAATATTCTTCATGCATGAATATTAATAGATAATTATACAACACCACGCCATGTCATTTACACATGTATGTAAATGAGAAATGTATAACTTGTAATGATTAGGGCATATTTATTTGTATTTATTGTCAGTTAATGAACGATAGAATAAATTCTGCAAATCAATTTAGGAACGAGAATGAAACTTATTCTCTACATTATATATAAATAGATTATATAAATAGGCTATATAAATAGATTATATAAATAGAGTACACATTATAAAAATAGAATATTTACAGAGTATTTACAAAAATATCCCCTTTCCCCCCAAAATATAGGTATAATATACAGTATTTTATATTGCGGAATTTTAATTGAGAATCGGGTACATGTATGTAGAATTTGTATTCTGTATTTTCGACGTGTACAATAACTCTTCTATATTCGTTGCGATGTTATTTCAAACTCTGTGTACGATGCAGTATGGACAATGTTTCGCAATAATATCACCTAGGGTAACTCCGGTATATGCGCCGCAGCTAAGGGAAACTTAATTTATCGAGTACTATTTACTATGTTTAAGGCAAATAAATTATACCAATAAAAACTGTATACCGTCTACTACTATAAAAAAAAATAGAAATATGAAATATTCATTCTATGTATTTAATAAAAAAATTTTTAGAAACCCTTGCATTTTTGCTATATATCCTAGAGAGGTGGGTTTATATGACATTCACGGGTGAAATATACGCCTTATATAAAAAATTACAAGAATAATGTTTATAAATAAGGTAATAAATGTAAGGTAAAACGTCATAATAAGTTATAAAATGTGCATGTGTAAGAAGTTTATTAAGATGTAAGAATGATGAACAAATTATAAAACTGAAAAATTTTTAAAGAGAAAATAGAAGAACGATAAATACATTAAAGGTTAGGGTAACTGGGAGGAATATGCCAGTGTGGGGAATATGCCACTTGTTATGTTTAACAAAGCTACGGCTAGGAGCGTTGTTGTAAATACTGTGAAATTGTTAAAAATATATCTGACGTTTTGCCCAAGTTTTACTTACTTCCTGTCAGTATTATAGTTTTTATGGGGTAAATACAGTATGACAAGTACGACAACGTATGTTTTTTAGGATTTCCTTAGTGTTTTAAGATATTCTTCAAGTATTACACTATTTTTAACTCGATCAGCTTGTCGTTCTATTAATATTGGTTAGGATGAAAGTATTCAGTACGTCGCCGATTCGTTTGACTGGCAATCGTATAATACAGGCTCATATTAATATAAAACTGCGTCTTGGGGGAATATGCCACTACTTAGAAAGGGGTAAAATGCCAGTACTGTTTACAGCTTCCTAACCTACTAGCAGGATACTGTCGCGTCGATCTGAGGCGCGTGACGCGTCCTGCGGGAGTTCGGGGATCGCGGAGCCTCAGCCCGACGAGGCCGGAGTCGCCGGAGAGGCCGTGCAACGCCCGGACGTCGTCGTCGACGCGGGCATCCTCGGATACGGGTTTTGATACAGCGAACGCGAGAACGGGCTCGCGGCCGCCGGACGATGATCTAAGATCTAACGTCTCGCGTGTGTGTGCGACGCGTGCGGTACCATGAGGCGAGACCGGGCTTAATGCGGGTGATCGCTGCTACGCGGTCGGCTCCGTCGAGGGAATATCCTTCACCGCGTATGCAGTTGGCTGCAATATTGTGATTTTGGCCAATAATTTCGAACGAGTTTAAAATATTCCTGGAGCTATGCACAATTACATCAGGATCAGCTAGTAGGTTAGGAAGCTGTAAACAGTATAAATAAATATTTTGCCGTATAAATATTAAAAAAATGTTGAAAAAATGATGAAAAAATATTGAAAAATGTTGAATAAATACGTTTATTTCATGCGCTAAGAATATTTTAGGCTACGTACTTAATATTTTGCAAAATTGCATTCCGAATAATTTAGAACTACTTGTAGCATACAGAGTATTATTGAAATGCAAAGAAAATAATAAAAATATTCTTTTACACGTTTTTAGACAAGAATGCTCTTCTAAAGTTAAATTACTATACATGTTTGTATATGTGTATTGGATATGGACCGCCATTTTTACTAGAAGATAGCGAATCACAAACGACGTCCTACTCCTTCCTTTTTCCGCTGAGCGCGCCACCTAAGTTCCGCTTGTGATAGGGTTGCCCTTCTACCTTTTTTAGTAGTAGTAGTACGATTACTCATGTAAGCGTATGTATGACCGAGTCTGCGTCAACCAAGCAATACTTTGTATTTGAGCTGATTAATAAACTAAAGGACATAACAGTGGTGTCAGAAGTGGGATTGTCGATAATCGAACAAAGTCGCGTAGTGAAACGGTGAAGGAAAAGACGACCGCGGACAACATGGAAGTACCGACGGAATTAATGCAGGCTTTGACGAGCATGCTCGCTAATGCGATTCGGACATCTGCATCAAATGCGGCAGCAGCCACGAGTGATGCAACGAATGCAGCGGGTGTATCCACGAGTCAGCCAAGGCCACCGCATTTCGTCATGCCTGAATACCGATCATCGGAATCAACGACGGTTGCCGATTATTTCAAGCGTTTTGACTGGGCGTTGCAGCTAAGTAACATACAGACAGTACAGCATGCTAATTACGCTCGCGTGCATATGGGCATAGAATTAAATAATGCCCTTAAATTCCTGATCAGCCCGCGTTTGCCAGAACAGCTCGATTACGACGATATTAAAACGACATTGATCAGCCATTTTGACCGCGTAAAAAATAAGTACGCCGAGAGTGTAAAATTCCGCCATATCACGCAACATAAAGGCGAACTCGTAGCTAACTTCGCTTTGCGTCTTAAACAAGGAGCCGTATACTGCGATTACGGCGATTTTCTCGACCGAATGCTGATCGAACAAATGCTGCACGGGTTGCAATCCCGCGAAATGTGCGATGAGATAATCGCAAAGAAACCGATCACATTCTCAGAGGCGTACGAGATCGCGCATGCGCTCGAAGCGACACGTAATACTGCCGATGAGGTTAAAACGAGTACACAACCTGCGACCGTAGAATCTACTAACGTACTACATGCGGGACAGCCGCAAATTAAAAAACCTAAAGATCCTTTTCATCGTAGGGCGTCTTCACGTAATCGGGAACATCAACGCACGCAGAGTAAAGGCAGAAAAGAGGAGCGACCCAATCGCAACACGCGCTCATCCTGCAGCGGTTGTGGAGGTCACCATGCTCGTAAAGATTGCAAATTTCTTGACTCGGAATGCCACAATTGCGGAAAAAAAGGACACATCGCAAAGGTTTGCAAATCAAAAAAACAGGCCACGGACCAAATCGCCATAGCAGATCAACCAGCGGAACAGATCGCGATAGTACAACGATTGAACAGACTCAACCAATTAAATGCACACAAACCGTGTGAACGACGTATGCTTACTTTAGAGATTGACGGATGCAATCTGGAAATGGAACTGGATAGCGGAGCGCCATGCAGTATCATTAGTATAAAAGCGCTACGCAAAATTAAACCACATTTCTCCTTACAGTCGACTGATCGACAGTTCGCAAGCTACACGCATCACCGTCTTAAATGTATTGGACGTTTACCAGTCAATGTGACGCTGGGTAATACAACGAGGAAAGCAAATCTATACGTTGTCAACGGCGACTATGACACTCTGATGGGACGAGAGTGGATCACACAATTTGCCCATGAGATTGATTTTGTTAAACTTTTTGCAGTTGAACGAGTGCACGGTCTGACAATCATGCCGCCGCATTTAACAGTAGAACAGTCCAACCGCCTCAACACAATATTACAACGATACAATGATGTATTTAGTGAGGCACCAGGGAAACTGATTGGACCACCGGTATCCGTACATCTCAAACCAGGCGCCACCCCAATCTTCGCACGAGCAAGAGAGATACCGCTAGCCTTACGTGAGACGTACGCCAGAGAAATAGATGCCAAACTCGCCCAAGGATTTTATAAAAGGGTCGAACACTCAGAATGGGCCTCGACTACACATATCGTTATGAAAAAGAACGGGAAAATGAGAATAACAGGGAATTACAAACCGACGCTCAATCCACGTATGGTTATAGATGAGCACCCGATCCCTAAAATCGAACATATGTTTCAGAAGATGAAAGGAGCAAAAGTATTTTGTCATCTTGACATAACGGACGCTTATACCCACTTAACCGTCGACGAGACGTTTAGCCATGCGCTAACATTAAATACACCAACGCACGGGTTAATCCGCCCAACACGTGCCGTCTATGGCGCAGCTAATATCCCCGCGAAGTGGCAGCGGCGTATGGAAGTTGCTTTAGAAGGCATAGAAAATGCCCTTAATTTTTTCGATGATGTTATCGTGTTCGCAGACGATTTTGATAAACTCTTTTCGATATTGGATACCATTCTAGAACGATTTAGAGCACAAGGACTCAAACTTAACCGCGCGAAGTGCACATTTGCAGCCCCTTCAGTGGAATTTTTGGGACACAGAATAAACGGAGAAGGACTACACAAATCCGACAAACACATTGCGACAATACGCGATGCACCAAAGCCATCAACGCCTGAACAATTACAATTATTCCTGGGCAAAGCAACGTACTACAGATCGTTCATTCCGGATCTTGCTACGAAAGAGCGGCCTTTAAGAGACATGCTACTAACAGAAACGTTCAAATGGACGCCAACCGCTGAAGCAGCATATTCAGAGATCAAGAATCTTCTCACCTCACCACAGGTTCTCATACCGTATGATCCAGCGCTTCCTCTATTGTTAGCAACCGATGCCAGTAAAACAGGCCTGGGTGCCGTGTTGTCCCATCGCCTCAGTAACGGGGAAGACCGACCAATTGCATACGCGAGTCGCACTTTAAGCGCTACTGAACAACGCTATCCTCAGATAGACAAGGAGGCGTTAGCCATCGTTTGGGCAGTACGCAAATTTTTCTATTATCTGTACGCACGTCATTTTACTTTGATTACAGATCATAAACCGCTAACGCAAATCTTCCACCCAGAAAAATCACTTCCGATTTTGTGCATCAGTCGTATGGCAAACTATGCTGACTATCTAGCACACTTCGACTACAACATTGTGTTCAAACCAACCAAGGCGAACGCTAACGCAGATTATTGTTCCAGAGTACCACTTCCCACAATGGGAGATCCAGTAAACAAGATCACTTTCGACGAAGAGGAAGAAGTGGAACAATACGATGATTTCGATCAATTTGTGCTACACCAAGTAAGACAACTGCCAGTACGCGCAGACCACATAGCACGCGAGACGCGCAAAGATCCTCACCTCGGCAAGATCGTGCAATCGCTACAAGCCGGCCAGAACTTAGCACATGTTGGCTACAAGGCTCCAGAGGCAAATTATACGCTAGCCGCTGACTGTCTATTGTTCGAACATCGGGTCGTCGTGCCACCTACCCTTAGGCAGCCGATCCTAGAGGACTTGCATGCCGCACATCTTGGCATCGTAAAAATGAAGGGCATGGCGCGTTCATTTGTTTATTGGCCAGGAATTGACTCCGACATCGAACGAATTGCAAAATCGTGTATCGAATGCGCCAAACATGCACATGCCCCGCCTCAGTTTCACAGCCATCATTGGGAATACCCGAGAGGACCCTGGGAACGCATCCATATAGATTATGCTGGTCCAGTCACGGGCGTAATGTTGCTGATAATCGTCGATGCGTATAGTAAATGGATAGAGGTCAAACCTACTAGTTCTACAACAAGCGCAGCAACAATTGCGATTCTGGACGAGCTGTTTGCAACCTATGGAATTCCGACAACTGTGGTATCGGATAACGGCACTCAGTTCACATCAGCTGAATTTAAAGCATATTTACAAGCAAGTGGAGTTAAATATCATAAACGAACTGCTCCATACCATCCGGCCACCAACGGACAAGCCGAACGCTACGTTCAGACAACGAAGGATAAACTGAATAAAATGGCTACTACTCGGAACACATTACAGCGAGACTTAAATGAATTCCTGCGACAGTATCGAAGAGCTCCACATTCCACTACAGGACAGCCTCCAGCATTACTCTTCTTGGGACGAAATTTACGCACACGTCTTGACCTCGTCCGACCTGAAGACACACGCACAAGAGTCATGAAAAAACAACAAGCCGAGAATGAAACGCCATTCCGTATCTTTAAACCTGCTCAAAAGGTTTATTTCCTTTCCGGAAATCCGCGGATGGACAAATGGGTGCCAGGCACAATCGTAACCCGCCTCGGTGACCTGCATTATGAGATTGACTACAAAGGAAGACGTTTCAAACGACACGTTAACCAGATCCGGGCTTTTCTGGAAACGAAGCCCCCGGATCCATTCTCTGTTACAGATTCATCAGTTCCAGAAGCGAAGGGACCTAAACGATCCCGACGAGTCAGGTTTTATGGGACAGACCCAAAACCTGATGCTGCACCCGCAGCACCTCCTGTAGCTGCAGCACCTCCTATACTTGCAGCACCTAGGGATTCCCCGCGACGAGAACAGACAGTGATTGCACGTACGGATCCTCCACGAGACCGAGCACCTGTCGGGGAATTACGGCGATCTTCACGTCCTCGCCGTCCAACGCAACGTTACTCACCATAGAGGGTACTGACCCCGCGGAAGGCGAATCTCTTAAAGAGGGGAGGAAATATTGGATATGGACCGCCATTTTTACTAGAAGATAGCGAATCACAAACGACGTCCTACTCCTTCTTTTTTCCGCTGAGCGCGCCACCTAAGTTCCGCTTGTGATAGGGTTGCCCTTCTACCTTTTTTAGTAGTAGTAGTACGATTTCTCATGTAAGCGTATGTATGACCGAGTCTGCGTCAACCAAGCAATACTTTGTATTTGAGCTGATTAATAAACTAAAGGACATAACAATGTGGCATATTACTCCCATGGGGGGGGGGGTAATATGCCACTTTGCAACACTTTTGTATTTCTTTCTTTTTAATAGTAAACAATCAAAATATTTTATTAAAAAACTATATATGTATAAATAACAGATAAAAGAAGAAAAAAAAAGACCAGTATGCAAAGATCTATAATAAAAAAATCCATGTAGACGCGAGAAGTTGGCCCGTGGTCGAGTAGTATTGTTGCCGCTTTTCCGCGTGCGTGATTGACCGATGCGTGCGTGCGGTCGATACGATGCGGCGATCGAGATCGCGCTGCGAGTTTCGCGTGCGTGTATGTATGTATATACATATGTGTATGTGTCGTGTGATGTGACAGCTGGCATCGGTTGCGCGAGGTTAGTGGGATTATTTATATAAATATATATAAATTATATTTTACATATTAATATCTGCTTGCTCGTACAAATCTAATCTGGTATACGTTACAGTAACTATAGATGTTTGATACAGATTTATCTTCGTAATCGTATATTTTATATACATATATATCGTATATTATATATAAGCAGACGTAAGTAATAATTACTGTTTTTACATTTGCATTATGTAAAATTTGTCTTATTTTAGATATACCGATGAATTTAAAATATTCGAGAAGATATGATGGGATTAGCTATTGGTGCTCATGGTGCAAATATATTCAACAAGCGTGAAAAGTTGATGACATTACAAATATCGTTAGAAGAAAATTCATGCACATTTAAGATATAATATAGAGAGGTAATTATAAAAATTATATTATCGCTTGTATTATTTCAAAGAGTATTGTTTTATAAAAGTTTACTGACTGTTTTTATCTAAAATGTATATACATATTCGTATATGTATATGTTGCATTATATTGAGCTGGAACTTATCAGATTTTTTTCTCAATCACAGACGTATGAAGCTGTTAAGAAAGACCGAATTATGCTGGAATACAGCGATAACCTAGAAATAGATAGATAGTGACAGTCGTGACCATCGCCGCGTCATAGGTACTTAGTGATAATGAAATATATATTGACGGCAGGGAGCTGATGCCGATTTTCTTTAAGAAGGAAGGTGCCATGTATCCAAAATCGCACACGTACGTATATATGCTGTCTTGTAAAAGTTGTAAAAGTTAGGAGAACGAGAAAGTGATCTGTATCTATGTGCACGTTGTGATAGGCACTATCGCGTAATAAAGATTTCTCTAAAGTATGTTTATATTGTACTTTACTTTCGTTAACTTAGATGCTTTGAATGTACAATCTCGCGTCTTCAAAATATAATAATTCTCATTGTCAGAAACTGTTGAGGCATAATTGTCTAGCACAAGAGGTCCTCTTGTGCTAGATAATACGAGTTGCTACAGAGTGCCTCTAATTGTAAGAATCTCTTCTCCTTTACCCCTTCTTTCTTCTCCCAATCCCGAATTTACACTATTGCGTGGTTCGTATCGTGTGTCATTACCTATTATAAATGTCCTCCTTTTCTCTCGTTTTCTCACGCAGGAACATTTTATATTCAACTACGTGGTATACAATTTTGCCGCTATATATTGACCACAGGAAGCTGATACCGAAGAGATCTTTAAGAAGGAAGGTGTATCCAAAATTGCACATGTATGTACGTATATCGTATTTGCTGTCTTGTAAATTGTAAAAGTTGAAAAGAACGAGAAAGTGTTTTGTAGCGCAATTTTTTTTATTCTACTTTCAGAAAAAGATAAAATAATTTAGATTTCCTAAAATTAATATTGTTTATGCTATCGGAGAGGAAACACTTATTATAAAATTGATTATAACGAGACAATTATATATAACGATTTCAGATGGTACGACGGCTTTTTTACGTTAATGCTGAATGGAAAAGTCTATAAGCATATTGCGGACAAAATGATGCCCAATCAGGATACAGCCACGAAAAAGAAAGATATGCGCATGGCAGGGAAATTAGCGCTATTCACAGGCTTTGTAAGCATATTTAGTAACAACGAGGATTCTTTGAATTAAGCTCTGTCTTAAAATCGCATCAATTGAAGTGAATCCACTGCTGAGTGCTGAAATTATACGATTTTATCCGTCACAACGAATAGACCAAGAAGAATGCTTTTTCCAGTCGATGGTTTCGAATGTTGCTGACGTATCTATTTCGTTGCAAATGCATCATTATGAAATGATGATCGGTAGTAAATGAGAGATATGTGAATTAAAAAGATGTGTACATTAACTAAACAGTATCTTTGTATGATTACAAACTATCTTCATCTAATTTTTTAGTGACAATGTCCGAATAATTTGCGTTAGTATTTCTGTGAAAAAAAATATGACGATTATATTACAGTATATCTAACGATTTTAACATAATTATAGAGGTAGGGTGTCTAAATTGTTATCGTTCCATCCAAATGTAGCTTTTATACTATTCGAATAGTATCGATATTTCATGCTGGTTAAAAACAAGTAAAAAATATTTTAAGACACTTGTATCGTTTCCAGAATATAAAAACTTGTGTTTAAATGACAGATATACGTTTTAAGTATTGGCGTATTTATTTCGTTGCAAATGTATCATGATGAAATGATGGTCGGTAGTAAATAAGAGATATGTGAATTAAAAATATATACATTACCTAACCCTGCATCTGATTTTTTAATTTCAGTAGTGACAATGTCCGAATAATTTTGCGTTAGTATTCCTGTGTAAAAAAATATGACGATTATACGATTATATTACAATATATCTGAAAAATGTTAGAAAATGAAACAATTGTTTAAAGGTATCCTGTATACCATAGTATCTATTTGCTTTGCCTGTATGGAATGTTAATAACGCGTAAGATAATATGATCATTAAAGTAATATTTCTTAAATGTATATTTCATACTTAATTTTATTTCATAAATACTATCACATTTATTCCTATGAATCATTTTCATTACGCTATTATGATTTTAACATAATTATAGAGGTATAATAGGTTGTGTGAATTATTACCGTTCCATCCAAATGTAGCTTTTATAGTATTATTTATTGTATCGATACCTTAAGCTGTTTATACAAAAGTAAAAAGTATTTTAAGACGAGAGAAAGATATAGAGATAGAAAACGAAGAAAGAAGGAAAAGAGAAGAAACAATATAGAGAAAGGTATTATATATTATAAAAATATTTATTATATTGCAAATATATTTAAATTTATATATTAGTTAACTTCTTTATATACACTACCTCTCATTAATTTCAATATACAACAGATTCGTTGATTTCTCTGTAATGGATGAACATCATGATACGTGTTTTGCACAGAAATGAATGCATTTGCTGTTATAAACATTTCACTTGCATGCGTGGCATTTTTATATAAATAATATATAAAAATGCAATGCATGCAAGTGTTTATAACAACAAATGTATTCATTTCTGTACAAAACATATGTATCATGTTCATCCTTTACAGAGAAATTAACAAATATAAAGATATATTGAAATTAATGAGCGGTAGTGTATATAAAGAAGTTAACTAATATATTAATTTAAATATATTAGTTAAGAGATGGAGAGATGGGAGGAAGAAAGGGCAGGGAGAAGTGAAAGAGGAAGAAAAGTGGGGGATAAAAAAAAAAGATAAAGCAATGGAAGCGAAGGTAAGAGAGCTAGAAAGGTGGAGAGAGTTAGAAGAGAGAGACAGAAGGAGGAACAATGTAGTAGTGAAAGGGGTGTAGGTAGAGGAGGGAAGGCAAAAAAAGCGGTAGAGAAGCTATGGCTAGAGATGGGGAAGGAGGGAGGAATAAAGGAGGTAAAAGAGATAGGAAGAAAGACGGGGAAAGAGAAGATGGTTTTAGTTAGGTTAAAAGATAGAGTAAGAAAAAAAGAGGTAATGCAGAAGAAGAATGTGTTGAAAGGGAGGATGGAAAGAATAAAGAATGACATGACCTTGAAGGAAAACATCAAAGAAAAATGCAATGGAGCCTGGAGAGGATAGCTGAGAAGGAGAGAAGGAATAGAAGGAGAGATTGGGTAAAGTACGGAAAGTTTTGGATAGAGGGGAAGAGGTGGAGTTGGGAATAGGAAAAAAAATCCTGATAGATGGAAGGGGAAATGAGAGAAAAATGCATGAAAAAGGAGGTGGGAGAAAGAGGAACAGAGGAGAAGGGAAAGAGTAGAAGAGAGGAAAACGGAAAAATGAAATCGAAAGAGAGTAAGGAGAGAGAAGAAACGATGGGAAGGGAGGGTGGAGAGAAGAGGGAGGAGAGGGAGAATAGGGAGGGAGAGAGTGTGGTGAGGCTGAAGGGAAAGGGGAAAAGAGTCAGAGAAGGTAGAGTGTGAAAAGTAAAAAAGGAGTGAAAGAGAGGAAAAAGAGGGGGAGGTGGAAGAAAGGAATGCAGGAGGGAGGAGGAGAGGAAGGAAGCCCAAAGATAGGCTTTTGCGATATAGCGGGAGTGAAAGGAAAACAGGAAGAGTTTTAGGAAAGGATAAAAAAGTGGGATTTCGTGGGGTTGGTGGGAAACATGGCTGAAATAAGAGGAACGGGAGAAGATGAAGGATAACGTGCTAAAAGAGTTCAACTGGAGGATACAGGGTGTAAAGAAAGAAAGAGTTGGAAGACGAGGAAGAGCAATAGGTGGGATAATGATGGGAGTCAGAAAGAAGTTAGAAAATGTAAGAAGAATGGATAAAGGAGGAGGGTTTAATGATTAGAAAAGTAAGATGGAAGAAGGAGAAATGGAGATTGGCAATAGTTTACGTAAGCGGCAACTTATGATAATGTGTAAGATAAAATCGGTGAAGGAGGAGGAAGGGAGAGAGGAGAGATGGATAGTGGGGGCGATTTCAATGCGAGAACAGGGGAGAAAGGAGCGCTGGAGGATGGAGAAGAGGGAGTTGAAAGAAAATCGAAAGATAAAATAATAAATAGGCAAGGGCTGATTAGATGGGTTGAAGAGGAAGTGTGGGGAATTATGAGCAAAGAAAGGAGATGAGAAGGAGGGG